CTGGAAGTAATTATAAAATTCATTTTATCTTATTTATAAATGCCCCAAAATATAACTGTCTAAAGCAGAAATAGTAGCACTGATAGATCCAAAAGAAGAAAGAAAGAAAGAAAGAAAGAAAGAAAGAAAGAAAGAAAGAAAGAAAAGAAAAGAAAAGAAAGAAATCCATCATTACAGACAGATTTTAACATTCTTCTCTCAGCAAATGATAGAACAAGTAGACAGATAATCAGTAAGTTTCCTAATAGTCCTGAACAGCATTGCCAACCAATTTACCTAATTAACATTTATGCTGCACTCCAGGTAACAACTTTTCAAATACAGTTGGAACATTCACCAAAATAGACCATATTCAGAGACATAAAGCAAACCTTGACAAATTTAAAAGAACAGGTAGTTTTGAAGGTAAACTCTTGGAACATACCATATTTAAACTAGAAATTAACAACAAAAAGATCATCTGCAAAATCGTCCAAAATATTTGGAAATTAAGCCATAAATTCAATGACTTAAGTGAAATGCATAAAATTCTTAAGAGACACAAACTGGCAAAGAAAAAGCAGATCACCTGAATAGTCCTATAACTTTTAAATAGATTGCATTATATTTTATTTTAAGATTTTATTTATTTATTTATTTGTCAGAGAGAGAGAGAAAGAGAGCACGCACAAGCAGGGGATGCGGCAGGCAGAGGGAGAAGCAGGCTCCCCACTGAGCAAGGAGCTGACTCGATCCCAGGACCCTGGGACTCGATCCCAGGACCCTGGGATCATGACCTGAGCCGAAGGCAGACACTTAACTGGCTAAGCCACCCAGGCATCACTGATTGAATTACATTTTAAAACCTTAAAAAAAAAAAATTAAAAAAACAACTTGAGACCTAGATGGCTTTTTTGGAGAATTCTGCCAAACATTTAAAGAAGAAATAATATCAGTTTTATATAAATTCTTCCAGAATATATAAAAAATAAGAAATATAGATGCAAAAATCATCAACCAAATATTAACAAATTGATTTCAGCAATATATAAAAAAAATATAGTACTTCATGACCAAGTAGGGTTTAATCTGGGGACAAAAGTCTGGTTCAACATTCAAAAAATGTTATATGTAGAGACTCTTAACTATAGGAAACAAACTGAGGGTTGCTGGAGGGGAGTTTCGTAGGGGGATGGGGTAACTGGGTGATGGGCATTAAAGAGGGCACTTGATGTAATGAGTACTGGATGTTATATGCAACTGATGAATCACTAAATTCTACCTCTAAACTAATAACACACTATAGGTTAATTAAATTGAATTTAAATAAAAAATTTAAATTTTTTAAAAGATTTTATTTATTTGACAGAGAAAGACACAGCGAGAGAGGGAACACAAGCAGGGGGAGTGGGAGAGGGAGAAGCAGGCTTCCCGCTGAGCAGGGAGCCAGATGCGGTGCTCGATCCCAGGACCCTGGATCATAACGTGAGCCAAAGGCCTATGCTTAACGACTGAGCTACCCAGGTGCCCCCAAAATGTAAAAATTTTATATGTAATTAACTATATTAAAAGACTGAAGAGGAAAAATTGTGATTATCTCAAGAGAAGCAAATGCCCTTTGACGAAATTCAACCTCCATTTATGAAAAAAAACTCTCAGAAACTAGAAATAGAAAAGAACTTCCTCAACATGATAAATGGCATCTTTAGCTAATATTATGTTTAATAGTGAAAGATGAATGTTTTCCCCTGAAGATCAGGAATAAGGTAAAGATGTCCATTCTCACTACTCCTATTCATTATTTCTTGTACTGGAGGTCCTAGCCAGTGCAATACGGCGAGAAGAAGAAATAAAAGGCAAATATGTAGGAAGGAAGAAATAAAACTGTCTCTATTCATAGATGACACAGTTATCCGTAAAAAATTCCAAAGACTCTTTCAAAAAGCTACTAGAACTAGTAAGTGAGTTTATCAAGGTCTCAGAATCCAAGACAAAAAAAAAACCCAAAATCATGTTTCTTTATACTAGTAATAAGCAACTGGAAATTGAAAAAAGTAGTATTAACAATAATATATAAAAAAAGAAATACTTAGGTCTAAATATTACAAAATATATGCAATATTTGTATGTTTTAAACAGTGAAAGATATCAAAGAAGATCTAAATAAATGAAGTGATATATCATGTTCATGGATTGAGCAAAATATTGTTAAAATATCAGTTTTCTCCAAAATGATTAATTTTTGCCTAAAATGACAAACTAATACTAAAATTTTTTTTGAAAAGGTAAGTAAGCAGAATAGGCAAAACAATTTTTATAAAGAAGAACAAAGTCTAAGAATTCATTCTACCTGAATTCTAGGCCTACTATACTACTTTCAAAAGTCATGACAAGTGCGGTATTGAAGAAAATATAGCCATATGGATCAATGAAACAGACTAGAGACTTAGAAATAGTCCCATACGTCCAAGTGATTTTCAGCAAAGGTGCAAAAGCAATTCAACAGAGAAAGAACATTCTTTTCAACAAATGGTGCCAAAACAATTATATATCCACACGTAAAACATAAATGTTAATCCATACTTTGTACCCTATACAAAAATTAACTCAAAATGGATCATAGACTTGGTTCCTTGAAAAATTAAAAATAGAATTACCATATGATCCAGTAATTGCACTTACCAGGTATTTACCCAAAGAATACAAAAACACTAATTCAAATATGTACCCCTATGCTTATTGCAACATTATTTATAATAGCCAAATTATGGAAACAGTCCAAATGTCCACCTGTAGATGAATGGATAAATATGTGATACACACACACACACACACACACACACACACAGAGAGAGAGGAATATTACTCAGCCATAAAAAAGAATGAAATCTTACCATTTGCAACAACATGGATGGATCTAGGGGGTATAATGCTAAGCAAATAAGTTAGAGAAAGACAGATACCATCTGATTCCACTCACATGTGGAAGTTAAGAAACAAAACAAATGAACAAATAAAAAAAGAGACACACCAAAAAAAGAGACTTTTAGCTATAGAGAACAAACTGATGGTTACCAGAGGGGAGGTAGGTGGGGGATGGGTGAAATAGATGATGGGAATTAAGAGTACACCTATCCTGATGAGCACTGAGTAATATATAGAATTGTTGAATCACTCTATTGTGTACCTGAAACTAAGTCACTCTTGTATACCTGAAACTAATATAAAACTGTATTTTAACTATACTGGAATTAAAATTTTAAAAATAATAAATCGAATAAAACTTGGGGAAAGTTGAAGAAAAATGGTTCATAGATCTAAATATAAAAAATAAAAACATAAAACTTCTAGAAGAAAACATAAGGGAAAGAAATCCTGCTGACCTTGAGTTATGAAAAGATTTCTTACATTAAAGGCCAAAAGTACCATCCATAAAAGAAGAAAAAAGTGATACATGAGATGGCATCAAAATTAAGAAACTCGGGGTGGGGGGCACCTGGCTGGTTCAATGCATAGAGCATGTGACTCTTGATCTAGGGGTTGTGAGTTCAAACCCCACATTGGGTGTGGAGCCTACTTAAAAAGAATAAATAAATAATTTTTTTTTTAAATTAAGAAATTCTGCTCTTCAAAAGTCTCTGTTATAGGAATGAAAAGACACAGTCTGGGAAAATGTTTGCAAATCTCATGATGTATGATAAAGGATTTGTATCCAAAATATATAGAGAACTCTTGAATTCAATAGTAGGAAAACAAACAACACAATTTTTAAAAATGTATAAAAGATTTTAACAGTCACTTTGTCAAAGAATATATTTGATGGCATTCAAGTACATAAAGATGCCCACACATTATTAGTCACTAGGGAAATGTAAATTAAAATCTCAATGAGATACTACACATGCAAAACATAAATGTTAACCCTACTTTGTACCCTATACACACCTCTTAGAATTGCCAAAATTAAAAAGATTTTTTTGACAATACCAAGTTCTTGCAAGAATATAACCCAACCATAATTCTCACACATAGCTGGTATGTATTCGAAATTGTACAACCACTTTGGAAGCCAGTTTGGCAGTTTCTCATAAAGTTAAATGCAACTTACCACCTGACCCAGCAATCCCACTTCTAAGTACTTACCCAGGTGAAAGGAAAACTTATGTTCACACAAAAACTTCACATGAGTGTTTATAGTGGCTTTATTCATAATCACAAAGTGGAAAAAACTCAAACGTCCTTTAACTCGGAAATGGATAAACAATACGACACATTCGTTCAATGAAAACTAACAAGCAATAAAGAAGAAACAGTATATGTAACAGCATAGCTGAATCTCAGATGCATTACACTAAATGAAAAGAAGCCAAAAATAAAAGGTTTCATATTATATGATTCCATTTATGTAAGAGTCTTGCAAAGGAAAGACTTACAGGGAAAACAGACCGGGGCTTTCCAGAGGCTTGCCTTTAGAACCAGAGAGGCCTGGCTGGGCTGATAACCACTCTGAACCTTGTTGGAGAATATCAACACCGTCAGAAGAATGTTAAGAATGAATAAAGTAATAATAGCCGTCATATAGTATGAAAATCGTCGTTCACTGCCTCTCTTCCCCGCGCCCCATAATTCTATGATCCAGAAAAAGGCCTAATGAAATTGCACCAGTTGACTGGGCAATGAGAGGACTTGAACACTGGTCAAAGTAAGAGCGGCGCTTTCTTCTGCGCTTCCCAGGATGATTTGGGAAAGACTCCCCTTCATCTTCCCCACAGTTGAGCGGTTTAGAACTGGGATCACACTCTGTGGAGGAAGGCCGGTCCCCAGCCTCGCCCAGGCCGGGGCGGAACCCGCAGCGCAGGGGGTCTGCCCCGCGGCGCTCCCGGGCAGGGCGCAGCGGCCCCGGAGCGCGCACCGTGAGTGCGGGAGCCCGCGGCTGGTCCACCGGCCGCCGGCCGAGCGCAGCTGCCCCGGGGGCCCGCGGGGAGGCGCGCGCGGAGCCGGCTCCCGCGGACCGGCTGGCGGGCCTGGCGCGCCGCCGCGCTGGCTGTCTCGCTCCGCAGCCGGAGCAAGCGCCGCTGCTCCCGCGTCCCCGAACGGCAGCGGGCCCCGCCGCCGGCCCCGCCTGATGGCGAGGCTGCGGGATTGCCTACTCCGCCTGACGGTCACGATCCGGTCCCTGCTCTTCTGGTCCCTGGTCTACTGCTACTGCGGGCTCTGCGCCTCCGTCTACCTGCTCAAACTTTTGTGGAGCATCGGCAAGGGACCCGCGCAGACCTTCCGGAGGGTCGCCCGGGAACACCCTCCCGCGTGTTTGAACGACCCCTCTTTGGGTACCCACTGCTACGTGCGGATCAAGGTGAAGGCCGGCGTGGGCCCGGCGGTATCGGGAGGGAACGTGACGGGCAGAGAGCGCTGGGCTGCTCCTTCCATGACGCCCAGCGTCCCCTAGTGTTCCTGGGGCTCGCAAAGAGCGCCCGGCGGGGACAGGGAAGATGCCAGGGGGAGGCAAGGCAAGGGGGGGCGAGGTGTGGCGGGAGAGGGGTCGAGACCGTGTCTGTGTGTGTGTGTGTGTGTGTGTGTGTGTGTGAGAGAGAGAGAGAGAGAGACAGAGAGACAGAGAGAGACAGAGAGAGACAGAGAATAGGTTATGAGGAGGTTCTCTCATCAGGGTCCTATATATATATTACTGTCCCCTCCTGCTCCACCACAACAACCCAGAATAATTCTGCTCTCTCTAAGGGAAGGCTGTCTCCTGTCATCTTTTTGCCCTTTAGAGCTCAGATCAGCTGTAGGGAATTGTTCCTGGTCATGCCCTACTGTCTCATGAGGCTGTCCTTGCTTACATTTTAGAGATTGGAAGAGTAAATAGAACAAGTCATTGGAAATAGGACTTTATTCAGAGTAGCAGAATGGAGCATGCAGAGATGACCTAACCAGCATGAAACAATAAATAAATGGTGTTATGTTTGTGAGCAAGGAAGCAGACTTATGAAGTCAGAGACCAAAGGAATGGAATAAAAAGTAAATGTCAACCATGCATTCAGACTAGAACTGTTCATGCTTGTCCCAAGCCTCCTGGCAGCCCATGGATATTCCATTTCCTGAGGCTCCAGGTGGTGAAGGGATATGGCCCTTCAGGATGCACCCTGCAGTCTGACTCACAGGCCTTTCAAAACTAGCCTCACATGAGGGGATATTTATGTCACCAAAATGCAGGATTCCTATTAGGAGCTAGATGGTCCAACTGCTAGAGTTCAAAAGAGCAAGGGCACATTTTTCTTACCCTTATTCAGCCTGGGGTTGGTATGAGAATGAAATGATTCGATATTTGTAAAACAAACAGACAAACCCAAATAAACAAAAACTTAGAACAGTGCCTAGCACATAGTAAGTGCAATTATTTGTTCACTAAGTCTAATCAAGTGGCCAAGACTCATCACAAATAAAAGATATAAATAGATATAAATATAAAAATAAATTCCATTCCTTTTTATTCCATTCCATTCCTTTGAACTTCTAGAAAGGCATTCTGCAGTTGAGGGCAAAGTCAGATTTGTTATCTTAGTCCAGCCTGAGGAGAAGCAGTGAAAAAGAGTCGTCTGGAATTCCTCATAATGCTTTTCCTCTTAATCTGGCTACCTAAAGAGTTTCCCCAGAGACAGAACCAAGGAGTGGAAAGAACATTGTCCTGTAAGGTAGGACTGAATGGGGTGCTGGTCACAGCCCTGTTCCCAACCACCTTTATGACCCATGTTAATATCTTTGGACTTTAGTTTCCAAATCTGTAAAAATGATGGGGTTGAAGTAAATGACCTTGTAAGATTTTTTTTCACATCTGGAAACTCTCTTGCTTGGGTTACCTGATATAAAACTCAGTCTCTGTGCTCATCTTTTGGTTCTTGGTTTCTTTCTTCACTTCTTTGTGAATTTTTGTTTTCCTTTCTTGCTTTTTTTCTCCATTTTCTTCTTTTCAGTTTGCTTTTTATTTGCTGTATTCTTGTCTCACTCCCATGCCTTTTATTTTCCTTGGGCAGTCCTGTGTCCCACATGCAGAGCGAAGACTTGAGCACTCAGAGAATTCTGCTGTTAGAAATACATTGACATGACATGGGGAGCAGGAAGCAAGGGGAGCTGTACATGCAACTCTCAACTTAAAATAATAATGTGGGAAGGAGAGAACTAAAAATAAGGAAAGGAGGTGTGAATTATATAACTAATGGCACAGCTCTTGACGGGCAAGCTGAGAAAAGTACATGACTAGGAGGTAAACATGGCAGGAATATAAATTCAGATCAGAATTATTTACATGTCCTTTGGAATTTGAATGAGATGAAATGTGACACATCAGTAAGATGAAAGTCACAAATTGTGACATTGTTCCAGAAGCTTGTAACATATAAATTGACCTTGTAGGTAGAACAAGAAGGGAAGGTACTATAAAGGGAATGTCAACAAAAGTAAATCATGGAGTTTTTTTTTTGAAATTTAATATTTATTTTATTTCTTGATATTAAAAATAGTGCAAGTGAACTTTTTCTTTAATGAAATGGAAATACTAAATGCACTACTTTTGGCAAAATATCACTAAAATTCCATGCCCTCTATTTTGTACTGCAGGATTCGGGGTTAAGATTTCATTATGTTGCTGCTGGTGAGAGAGGCAAACCACTTATGCTGCTGCTTCACGGATTTCCAGAATTCTGGTAAACTTACCAACCAACTTTTTCTTTTGCAGTAAAGACTTGGCTAATCACAGTGTCATTTTCTTGTTAAGACTTTTAATCGACCTTACTTTATGGTCTCTTACCCAGTTATCCTTCCTGAATGCTCCTGAATCACGGGGATGGTTTTCCCTCTATTCTAAAGAAATGTGCATGGTACCAGGCTAATTTCCTTCCCTTCCCTTCCCTTCCCTTCCCTTCCCTCCCTTCCTTCCTTCCTTCCTCCCTTCCTTCCTTCCTTCCTTCCTTCCTCTTTCTCTCTTTCTTTGTGAAAAATTAAAAGAAGTATTGTTTAGTGTTTCAAATTTCTGAACTAGCTACAAAACAGTTTTTATAGTATCTACTGTGGACAATGTGCCACATTGGGCAGGGAAAGGAGATTGAAAAGAAACCAAAGGTAGAGTGCCTAGTATCTGAAAGGTCTGGGAGAAGCCTCAGGTGAGGGGAAAGTGGAGAAAGAAGAGACTCTTGGAAACTGAGGACGAACTACTTCCTATGCATGTAGCAACAGGCTCATATGAATGCAGGATAAATTAAGGACCTAAATATTTCACATTAGGAAGAAACCTATAACCAAAAATATACAGTTGCTAGTTACCTAGGAGAAAATGTTCTGTTCTCCTTTGAACCTCACAGAGCCAAATAAGTACAGATGAAAACAACATATGATTAAACTTTTAAAAAATGAATATCTTTTTAAAAGATGCTACATATGGTGGTGAAAGATAACCGGGCTTTTGATAACACAGGGCTATGATCTTGAGACAGTCCATGAACTAAATGCGAAGAAATGGATGAAAAATAATCATATCCTCTGAGCCGACTGAAAGGCAGAATATGTTGTATCTTTTGAAAGGTCTGGGATGATGCCCTGTCCCCAAATTTCTCCCTTATTATCACTCTTAACACCTAGAATTTCACCATTATGTATTCTGCACCTCCTTCACAGTTTTAAAGATTTTGTTATCCAGAGTCCTGACTTAAAATGCATCTAGCTCTCAAAGAGATCTGACCCTAATACACTTTAGTTAATACGTTATCAGTGAAAGAGACTTCATTAATAAATACATTGAGAATGCTAGTGCATGAGGAAGTATTAGGTATCGAGGAAAAGAATGTAGTGTGGCAAAACCCCATGTACCTCATCATTTTTCCAGAGCAAAAAGTCTATAGATGTCTTTTTCTGAGATTTTTCCCCTCATGAAGATTTTTCTCCCCCTGTATTCGCCTACATGAATAAACATAAGTCGTTTTCATGTTAAATTTTATCTGCTCTTCCATCTGGAGACAACTTAATTAGGTGGTAAACAGCCCAGTACAATTCAAGCATATGTATGTAGACTCGTTTAGTGGAGTGCTTGACATGACTGGCTCACAATAAAATCTAAGTTTGAAGCTTTAGTCAAATCTGCATAAAGTAACATAGGCGGTGAATTCTGGCTTAATCACTTACTCTGCAGGATCCTGCGCAATCATCTGCAATAATCTTGCAGAGTTGTTGTGAAGATAAAGAGAGTCAAAATATGCAGAAGGCCTTTCACATAGCCCCAGTGAATACCCAATAAATGTTCATTTTCTTCATTCCCATTCACTCAGTGTGGAGAGCCCTCTGCCAGCACTAGCATCCGCCATGCATTTATTAATAAAGTCCCTTTCCCTGATGAAGTATTAACTAAAGTGCACTGAGATCATACCTCTTTGAGAGCTAGCTGCATTTTAAATCAGGACTTTGGATAATACAAAATCTTTAAAACTCTAAAGGAGGTGAAGAGTATGCAATAGTGGAATTCTAGTTTGAAGAGTTAGAGTAACAGAGACTTTTGGAGACAGGCGATTGTCCCAGACCGGTGAAAAACTAATTTTCTGAATGCTGCAGCTGGTGCTAGTTAACATTTACGGACCATCCACTGTGTGCCAGGCACTCTTCTAAGTGTTTTACTTACATCTCATGTAAACCTCACAGCTGCCCTTCTGAAATTGGCACGGTCAAAAAGTAAGGCACAGCTCACTTTTGAGCTTCAGAGCTGCCCTCTCCTGCTTGTCCTCAGTATATAGGAATGATAATCATCTGATATCAAGCAGGGCTTTTCACCCTTCAAATTTCACACCTTATAGAACCATTCAAGAGGGTGTTAAAAGTTAGCTAACCATGCAAGCTCACTCTAACATTTTGGACCATCATTCTAAATAAAATTCATGATCTGTTGCGGCGGGGCGGGGGGGGTGATATTTAACTTTTTAGAAAGAAAAGATTTAAAAGCTATTCTGTCACCACCTCATATCAACCCCAGTACTTGTCCATGCTCTTTTCTCTCCTGAAACTTCACTTCTTTACATGTGGAACAGTCTACCAGCAAGATAAACATAAACCTACAACCTCTTCAGCCAACTGGTAATTATTTTGAAGAAACAGCAAATAACAATGATGCACTTTTGATAGAGGACGATTGATGCTTTCTGTCATATTTAAGAATGATACCTTTGTACATTTTTCACAGCATTGTCCCTTTATTTACTCTTCATAAGAGCCCTTTGGCAAAATAGAAATGCCTGGTGATTCTTGTACGTGTCCTCTAATCTCTAGGGGACGGGACAGCCTGGGAGAGGCCCAGCACTGGTCCTTGGACATCAGTCCCATTTGCTCTGGCAAAGTCAAGTCTTGGATGTGTTACTCCAGAAACACCCTTGCCATGACTTAAAAAAAACAACAATGAACCCCTCATAGCTCAGTTACTCATACAGCATATTGAATTCACTAAGCTTTGCTGGCCCTTAATCTGAAAGCTACCCAGGTGTTTAGGGTAAGTCCAAAAGCAACTACATGGAGATTACTGATGATCAGAAACCTCTGTTTGACTGTCATACCCTAAACCAAGACCTCAGTGTTGAACCTTTGTCTTTCCTTCCATTCAACCTGCCACTATTAACTATTAGGAATCTAGTCAATTCCATTCAGGTGCTCCGTTCAGGAAAGGGTCAAATAAATTCAGAGTTTAGGACAAAGCTGTTTTGATTAAGCCACTTCAAGTCTCTCTCTTGCTTTCCTCTCTTTTTTCAAAAGCCCCTTCCCTTGCATTTCTATCTTCTTTAAAAGCCAAAAACAACAAAGCAAGAAACTCTTGTCTGACATTTCAAACCAATTTAAATTTACATTATAAGTATAAATATTATTCCTCTGTTAATCAAGTTTTGTCTAAGTACATATGGAACTATAAGCTTATTTGTAGATCAAGTAGGTCAGGATATTTGATACCGTGAAAACAAAATAATCATAAATTGGTAATGTGTGTAAAAATGATTTTAAACAGAAAAGCACTATACACATGCAATATATTATCTGCACTTACCATCATTACCTAAGAATAGCTGTTGAGAATTGGTGACATTTAATATTAGATATTACATGGAAACAATAAAAATTCTGGGTCTTCTTTCTTAAATCTAAAGGAAACATCAAATAAGATCTGCATCTCTGAGACTGTTAGCTAAATTATCCCAAAATAAAGTTATTTGTCAGGAGATGGTTTTTCTCCCACTCTCTCTCCACCTCAATTTGCATCGCTTTTAAAAATATTTGGAGCTGATGCAGGCAGTTTCTTTGAGTTGTCTTCATCACCAGCTGTATGGAATGCATTCGTCATTACTCAAGTGCTGAGGCAAGGGAGGGCTCTTGGTACACACAGCTGAGCACAGAGGCTGATGACTATGGCTTTTTCTCTTTTGTGAAGGGGAAAAGGATATTCTACATCTGAATGTGGCTATCCTGGTAAACCAGAAGCCCTCTTATGTCAAGAGTAATCACTAGGAAGGGGGTTGGTTTTTTAGAAGTGTCTTCTGCTATTACCAAACGTACCAGAAAAAAAAAAAAGTGGATGAAAATAGCAAGCTTTGTTTCTTTGTAATATTTTTAGGAGTTACTGATTTTTTTTTTTTAAGTAGGCTCCATGCCCAACATGGGGTTTGAGCCCATGACCCTGAGATCAAGTGTTGCACACTCTATGGACTGAGCCAGCCAGTTGCCCCTGAGTTACTGATTTTATAATATGTTTCATTTCTGTGTCAAGGGATTCAATTTTGTTTACTATCATATGAATGAAATGCCCATCAGTCTATCCCTGGGGTGATTTCTTTTTCAGCTTAAAGTGTGAATCAAATATGCTTTATTTGTGAATTCTGGGAAGGTTACATTTAAGATTTTTTTTGCAATTTATTAAGATAGCAGCTGCCCTATTTCTTAGAAATGTTGAAGATATTGTTTGGCTCCTCTCATGTATGGCAGCAATAGTTGAATTTATTTGCAAGGCAATTTAAATTATCAATAAGAGAATGAAATATGCAGGTATTATGTTTGCATAATCTCTAATGCAATTTTAAATGTAAAATATTGCAGGATTCTACACACTACTTTGAATCAAATTTCTACCTTGAAATCTCTCACTAAATGAGTTCTAAATGAAGACATACTTAAGATATTAGAACAATGCACTTTTTCACAGACATTAACTATAAATTCCCCAACAGGAACTTGGGAACTTCAGTCGTCCTTGCCTCACGGTTTGAACTGGGGCCGAGTTTTCTTGAGCAGCTGGTCCTTCCTGCACTATCAACACTCAGTCCTTCCACTCGTTTGTTTCACTTATGCAACATATCTTTACTGAGCACCTACACAGTCTAAATATTCTCCCAGGCAGTTGAGGGAGCTCCCATTCCAGTGGAAGCACCAGACACAACAGATTGTTATAAAGCACATGCCCAGTCGCCTGAAGAGTGTATGTGCAAACGGGAGAGTTAGAAGGGTCCCACCCAACCCACCAGTAAAGGTGGGGGCCTGCGAGGTCTCCTGGAAGTGGAGATGCTCAGCGAGAGGAGTTCAGTGAGGGGGAAAGGGCAGGGATTATGGGGAGTAGGGAAATGGCTGAGAGGGATGATGTTGCAAAGGACATCAGAAGAACAAAGTCAAAAGCAAAAAGCAATATTGCCATTGGATCACTGCAGAGGGCTTCCCTCTGTGTGGGCAGGGTACCATGGACTCAGGACAGACTACCTGGGTTTGAATCCTAGGTCTGCACTTTGCTAATTCTGTGACCTTTGGCAAGGCAATTAACCTTTTTGTGCCCCTGAAGTTCTACTGTGGGGATAATAATAATAATAATAATACCTACTTCATAGTTTTGTTTTGCAGATCAACATTACTATATGTGAAACACTTAGAATTGTGCATGGCATGTACTAAGAATGATATAACTGCCAGCTTTTTTTATTATATAGCAAATGACTAAGAGTGTAATCAGGCTGGAAGTTTGGGCCTTAGTCAAATCTTGGAGGTTTGGTCTGCCACAATGACAAGCTTGAGCTGCATGTTATGAGTATAGGTAGACCTTGTTTTATTGTGCTTCACAGATACTGCGTTTTTTGGGTTTGTTTTTTCACAAATTGAAGGTTTGTGGCAACCCCGTGTAGAGCAAGGCTGGTGGAGCCATTTTTCCAACATGTTTTCTCATTTTGTGTCTCCGTATTTTGGTAATTTTTGGTAATTTTTGCCATATTTCAAACTCTTTCATTATTATTATTACATTTGTTAGGGTGATCTGTGATCAGTGATCTTTGATGTTCCTACTATAATTGTCTTGGGGTGCCATAAACCACACCTATATGAGATGGTGAATTGAGGATGCATGTTGTATGTGTTCTGCCTGCTTCACCAATAACCCTTCCCCCCATCTTGCTCCCTCTCCTTGGCCCTCCCTGTTCCCTGAGACACACAATATTGAAATTAGGCCCGTTAATAATCTTACAGTGGCCTCTAAATATTCAAGTGAAATGAGGAGTCCCATATCTCTCACTTTAAATCAAAAGCCAGAAATGATTAAGTTAGTGAGGAAGGCATGTCAAAAGCTGAGACAGGCTAAAAGCTAGGCCTCTCCCACCAGTTAGCCAACTTGTGAATGCTACGAAAAATTTCTTGAAGGAAATTGGAAGTGCTACTCCAATGAACACACAAATGATAAGAAAGTGAAACAACCTCATTTTTGATATGGAGAAAGTGTCAGTGGTCTGGATGGAAGATCAAACCACCCACAACATTCCCTTAAGCCAAAGCCTAATCCAGAGACAGGCCCTAACTCTCTTTAATTCTGTGAAGGCTCAGAGAGGTGAGGAAGCTGCAGGAGAAGAGTCTGAAGCTAACAGAGGTTGGTTCATGAGGTTTAAGAAAAGAAGTCATCTCCATAACAGAAAAGTACAAGGTGAAACAGCAAGTGCTAATGGAGAAGCTGCAGCGAGTTATGCAAAGATCTAGCTCAGATCATTCATGAAGGTGGTTACAATAAACAATAAATTTTCAATGTAAATGAAACAGCCTTCTATTGGAAGAAGATGCTTTCTAGGACTTTCTTAGCTAGGTAGAAGTTAATGCTTGGCCGCAAAGTTTCAAAGGACAGGCTGACAATCTTGTTAGAGGTTAATACAGTTGGTGACTTGAAGCTGAAGCCAATGCTCATTGATTATTCTGAAAATTCTCGAGCCCTAAAAATTATGTAAATCCATTCTGCCTGTTTTCTATAAATGGAACAACAAAGCGTGGATGACAGCACATCTGTTTACAACATGGTTTGCTGAATATTTTAAATCCACTGTTGAGACCTACTGCTCAGAAAAAAAAAAAAAAAAGATTTATTTCAAAATATGACCACTCATTGACAATGCACCTGGACACCCAGGAGCTGTGATGGAGCTGGTTTTCACGCCTGCTAACACAGCATCCATCCTGCAGTCCATGGGTCAAGGAGTGATTCCTACTCCTTAAGTCTTATTATTGAAGAAATACATTTCATAAGGCTATATCTGTCATGGTGATGTCTCTGATGGATCTGGGGGCAAAGTAAATTGAAAACCTTCTGGAGAAGATTCACCATTCTAGATGCCATTGAGAACATCCATGATTCAAGGGGTGAGGTGACAATATCAACATGAAGAGGAGTCTGGAAGAAGTTGATTCCAGCCCTCGTGGGTGACTTGGAGAGCTCAGGACTCCAGTGGAGGCAGAAACTGCAGAGGTGGTGGAAACAGCGAGAGGACTAGGAGCAGCAGGGGAGCCTGAACATGTGACTGGACACCTGTGATCTCATGATCGAACTTTCACGGCTGAGGAGCTGCTTCTCATGGATGAGCAAAGACAGTCCTGAGCTGGAATCTACTGCTGGTGAAGATGCTGTGAAGATGGTTGAAATGACAACAGAAGATTTAGAATATGACATACACTTTAGTTGATAAAGCAGCACAGGGCTTGAGAGGACTGACTCCAAGTGTGAAAGAAGTTCTGCTGTGGGTAAGATGCTAGCAAACAGCATCACACGCTACAGAGAAATCGTTCATGAAAGAAAGCGTCAACCAATGTAACAAACTTCATTGTTGTCTTATTTTAAGAAACTGCCACAGCCCCCCCAGCCTCCAGCCCCCACCACCCTGGTCAGTCAGCAGCCATCAACATGGAGGCAAGACCCTCCAGCAAAAAGATTATAATTCACTGGAAGTTCAGATGATGGTTAGCACTTTATTGACAATAAAGTATTTTTTTCTTTTTTGGATTTTATTATGTTTTTAATTATAGTTCTAGTGTAGTTAACATACAGTGTTATATTAGTTTTAGGTGTACAATATAGTGATTCAACAGTTCTATACAAGCAATACTTTTTAAATTAAGATATATACATTGTTTTTTTAGACATAAGGCTATTACACACTTAATAGACTACAATGTAAACATAACTTTTATACTTACTTTATCGTGATATTTGCTTTATTGTGGTGGTCTGGAACCCCACCTGCAATACGTCTGAGATATGCACGTAATAGGGATTCAAGAAAAGAAGTTAAGCAGCGAAGTTACATGACAGAGTTTATGTTTCTGGGACCTCAGTCTGGTTTTGTAGAAGATAGCGCTGAAGGGAATGAAATGCATACAGACCGATCGATAGGTTGCTGCATTAATGGAGGCCTGAATTAAGGTAATGATATTAGGGATGGACAGGAAAAGTGATTAAATAAATATTTAAAAGGTTAAATATGCAGAACTCTATTGATTAGGCATGAGGTAATCCCTAAAGGGGGAAGACTTAGGCTCCAGTTACAAAGACATAAAAAAATCAATTGAAAATTTTAAGTAAGGCTAATGAGAAAATAATATGTGTTGACAAATGGGTATCTTTGAGGAAATAAACTGCTTATTTGTTACAACCTAAAGCCAAGGTTAGTAAGATTGCTATGACCTCACTAAGAAACATACTTTTTATTAACATTTTTAAATCTGTCTTCATTGGTAATGCTTTTGCAGATTTTCACAAATCATAGATATCCTAATAATAGATCAAAGATTCTGAATCCATGCATAATACAAATACGTGTCTGACACTCTTCCTGATGACCTGTTAATGTAAAGTGCATACTTTGTTTCATTGATCTTATTGCTTTGTGACACTTCACATTGCAGTCTCTCTCACTATTGGCTTATAATAGCAGATCCCTTGGTACACTTGCCTATTGCACTCCAAAAATCTTTTCAGACAATTATCTCCTATTGGCTTGTGTCAGATAATTCTACACTGTTTCCATGAACAGATGTGCATACAGATCCATTTTTTAAATGCATATTTGGAGTTCCACAACATAGTCACTTTGAAAAATCCACGTCTTTTTTCTTCTTCTTTGTTATCCAAAATGATTTTGCTTGTTTGAAGAAGAAAATCTCATGGATCGGGGTGCCTAACTGGCTCAGTCAGTAGAGCATGAGACTCTTGATCTCGGGGTTGTAAATTTGAGCCCCACGTTGGGTGCAGAGATTAAAAAAGAAAAAAAAGAAAGAAAAAAATCTCATGGATCTTGGTATTTCATTTAATTCTGCAGTTCCATGATCAAGCACAGGGGAACACCTGGCCCTGCAGACACCTCCAGGACTTGGCTGTAGCATATTGGCCGTTCTTTTTTTAAAGATTTTATTTATTTGAGAGAAAGAGAGAGCACAAGCGGGGGGGTGGGGGGGTGGGCAGAGGGAGAGAGAGAAGTGGATTCCCCGCTGAGTGGGGAGCCTGACGCCAGGCTTGATCCCAGGACCCTGAGATCATGACATGAGCCGAAGTCAGAAACCTAACCCACCAGCCACCCAGGCGCCCAACACTGGCCATTCTAATTGGTCATGACAATGCCATTTTGGCTGTTAAGTGTGTGGGGTTTTTTGTTTGTTTGTTTTTGTTTTTTTTTTAAGATTTATTTATTTGAGAGAGATTGAGCACAAGCCGGAGGGGCATAGGGAGAAGGAGAGAGAGAGAATCTCAAGCAGACTCTGCACTGAATGCAAGCCCAATGCAGGGCAAGATCGCACGACCCTGAGATCATGACCTGAACTGAAACCAAGAGTTGGATGCTTAAATGATTGTGCCCCCCAGGTGCCCCTTAAATGTTTTTAATATCACACTTGCTTGTACTCATTCAGGATCTTCTCCATAGAAGCATTTGTAAGTACAGATTCCCTGATAGCTATAAGCATTATTTAAGAAAGCCTAGAAAATTGATTTCTTAAGTACATATAGAAGTATATTGGTTTTAGTATCAGATATTTCATAGTTTCTGTAAATACTGGCCCTCTGTTACACCCCACTGGAGCTGGTAAAAAAAAATAACAATAAATTTTTATAAAGAACTTCAGTGTTCCCTTCCGAAACACATCCCTTCCTCTGGCTCACAGATGGCTATATAACCTTTCTCAAAATAGACAGTTTCTTATAATTGTCCACTTAGAAAAGATGTAATGTTACTCTCTGGATTCGCTACTGTGGTATTTTTAATGTTTCTTATTTCCTGCAGGTATTCTTGGCGTCACCAACTAAGGGAATTTAAAAGTGAATATCGAGTTGTAGCACTTGATCTGAGAGGCTATGGAGAAACAGATGCTCCCATTCATCGAGAGAATTATAAATTGGACTGTCTAATTACAGATGTAAAGGATATTTTAGACTCTTTAGGTAGGTCAGTTTAAAAAAAATAGTATAGTCCCTTTTAAGGGACTAACATTCCAAAAATTGTGAATTGGTAACCTCATTTCTTGGGAGAAGGCATTTTCCATTTACCTGAGCTGTTGTCTGGATCCTGTCCCCATGGTTTTGGGTGTACAGACGAAAATATTTATAGAGGAAATTGAAAATAATACATCTGGAATGACGATTCAGTCCACCAACCAAGAATGACTTTGAACATTTGTTGTTGTTGTTGTTTTATTTTATTATGTTATGTTAATCACCATACATTACATCATTAGTTTTTGATGTAGTGTTCCATGATTCATTGTTTGCATATAACACCCAGTGCTCCATGCAGAATGTGCCTCTTTAATACCCATCACCAGGCTAACCCACCCCCCAGCCCCCTCCCCTCTAGAACCCTCAGTTTGTTTCTCAGAGTCCATCGTCTCTCATGGTTCGTCTCCCCCTCTGATTTCGAAAATTTGTTTTTAAAAGTATTTCTAATGTATGCAATTTATTATTTTCAGAACTAATTATTGGAAATTTGATTCTTGTACTCAGAAAATTTATTTCTTCAGAATCCACATCTAAATAATCATTTAGATGCAGAAGCACTTACACTATCTTCTTTTTTTTTTAAGATTTTTATTTATTTATTTGAGAGAGAGAGAGCACAAGCAAGAGGGGGAACAGAGGGAGAAGCAGGCTCCCCACTGAGGAGGGAGCCCGATGTGGGACTCCATCCAGAACCCTGAGATCATGACCTGAGCCAAAGGCAGACGCTTAACCAACTAGGCCACCCAGGCACCCCGCACTATCTTTCTTATATTGATCAGCTAGTGCCACAATATTATTGTGTAACAAACATGCCAAACTCAGTGGCATATAGCCATAGGCATTTATTCAGTGCTCATGGGTGTGCAGGTCAAGTGTAGGCTGGACCACTGGGTCTTTACCTCAGGTTACAGGTCCTGCTGGGACTGGCTTCTCCCTCTGAGTTAGGCTGGAACCCAAGCTAAAGGGGAGTAGCTACCTAGCGGTAGCTTTTCCTCTTCTCCTGGCAATGGCAGAAATGGTAAGAAGGTGAGCCCAGATGCAGAAGCATATTTCAAGTTTCTGCTTGCAGCACATTGGTCAAAGCAAGTCATATGGCTGAATCCAAAGTCAAGTCAGACTCCCACCATATGACCAAAGCAAATCACACGACTAAGTCTAATATCAAAGGGGTAGCAACGTATACTCCTTTTATGGCAGTGGGGAGGGGGGAGGAGTAAATACTTTTTAACAATAATTGAATCCACTACACCTTTTTTGACTAAAACCCTGCTGCTACCATGGTATGTTAATGGAGCTAATATTGTAAAAAAAACCATGAAATCAAATTAAAGGCCTTTTCTACAATAATCTAAAGAGAGCATGGATCTGGCCAATATTCCAAGAGGAGGAAAAAAAATGGATGAGGTCTGGGGGTATCAATGCAGTGTTGTCATTTAGTCTGATTACAATAAAATAGACTCAAAGACATTGATTTCCAGTAGCCATATTTCATTTCTCTTCTGTGGTAATTCAGTCAGACTTGGCCTAAATTTGTCTTCATGCAATTTTCTAGGCAAATCGATAATATAATCTTGCTTATGACCTAATTATGTGTAATCTTTACCATGGTTTTCCAAACTCAGGTTTGTGGGACTAGAGCTGAGCTAACTATTTCAGGTTTTTAAAAAAATACAGGTTCCTGGGAGAGATTCTGAATCTGTAGGTCTAGAATGGAGGTTGGACATCTAAATTTTCTAAAAAGCTACTTAGGTGATTCAGACGTACAGGTTTTGGAAACACCAAACTCAGTATCTGCATAAGTGCATAATTAGAGTCAGATTATGGGAAGATTAGTTTCAGAAGTATACCCATTTTATGTAGGATAATGATGCATCCACCTTCAATGACATCAACATTTTTTTTTTTTCTCCATTATAGGGTATAGCAAATGTGTTCTTATTGGCCATGACTGGGGGGGAATGATTGCTTGGCTAATTGCCATCTGTTATCCCGAAATGGTGATGAAGCTTATCGTTATTAACTTCCCTCACCCAAATGTATTTACAGGTGAGTTTGAATTTTAATTAAAACATCTTTGCTAACATAACAATTCACTATTGTCGCTGACACTTTGGATTAAAAACAGCAAAATTTGAATAGCATAGTATTTTTTTAATTAAATGACTAAAATATGATATTAGCATATAACAATGTCAGATACGTTGACTTTATTCCACAAGAGTCTGAGAAATCATAGCTTCATATTTGCTTGCATAATTTTATTTTTTTAGAAAATATTTTACTGCTAACTTGGAAAGGGATAAAGGGAAAAAAATGCAGTAACATTACTTTGACAGTAATGAATCTTGACAACCTAGAAATAAATTCTCCTCTTGCCTGACTGCTTCGGCTATCAGGAATGACAGCATTCTTTAAAGCCATAGTTCTCAAATTTTGAGTTTCAGGACTCTTTTATACTCTTAAAAAATATTAAAGACCCATTGAGCTTTTGATAATATAGGACATATATAAAAATATTTACTGTATTAGAAATTTAAAATGAGAAAAATTTAAAATTATATATTAATTCATTAAAAAATAATAAATCTAGTATCTGTTAACACGATTAACATCTTAATGAAAACTAGCTACATCTTCCCAAACAAAATTTTAGTGAGAAGAATGTCATTATTTTACATTTTTGCAAACCTCTTTAATTTTTGGCTTAATAGAAGACAGCTGGATTCTCAGATCTGCTTCTGCATTCAATCTGTTACAATATGTTGTTTGAATTGAAGTGTATGAAGAAATCTGGCCTCACACAGACTTGTAATTGGAAAAGGGAAGAGTATTTTAATAGCCTTTTCAGATAACTGTGGATTTTCTTCTTTAATACTACACCAAACTAAAAAATTGGTGGTTTCTTAAAGGTTAGTAACAATGTAGAATCTGATGTCATATTAATGAACTTTTTGTACTCTGTTACATTAAAATCCATTAGTCTCTCTAGCACTTTGAATGGCTTTTTTACCCATGCATGATTTTGCATCATCATGCATTGGAAGATATTGGTCCATTGAGTTATTCAGATCTTCCATACTTTGACACATTTTATTATATTATATCAAAGAATCACATTAACTAATATTGCCCCAATGTCATCAAAAAGTTGTTGAGTATTGCAAAGCTGTCATGCTCACAGTAGCAAATACACGTCTCCAAATTTCTAATTTTCATTTGAAAGCTTGAATTTTGTTGTTGGCAACAAATACTGTTGATTGTTTTCCCCCAAGTGACAGGCTCACTTTGTTCATTTTCAAGAGACTATCTGTCAAATACTCAAGTCTGACTGGTGATAATTTGTTAGTCATCCTTTCAAGTAAAAAATGGTATTCCATAAGAAATGCAGCTAATTCAACTAATCAACTCAAAGAATTGCAGAAGTGCTGTTCCTTCAGACAACCATTGTACTTGGGTGTTCAACAGAATTGCTTTGTGTGTACTTTCTGTGTCATCTCAATGTTCAAAGGACATGTACTCAAAGGTTGAAATTTAATAAAATTAATAATTTTTGCTGTTTTATCTAGGGCATTCCTAAGTGAAACTGGCACTTAATTTTATGTATTTATGTATTTGTTTGCTGCAAGTGTGTGGTGGCGAAGCATACAAATGACTGCTAGTATTGTTTAGCATCACTACCTTGATTTGTGCTCAGGCAGCAATGGCTTTATCTACCCTTGCTTTCATACCATGAGCACAAAGGTCCACAAATGAGAAAAGCTAATAATGTCTTAGTATTGTAATGAGATAGTTTTGACTGTCTGGGTTGTTTAAAAAGGTCTTAGGGATCCCCAGGGTCCATGTGGGCTATACTTTGAGAACCCCTGCTATAATAAAGGGAACTCTTAAAATCCTCAGAGTGTTTAAAGACCAGTGAACCATGACTAGGCACATTTTTATTCGGTTTTGGCAAAAACTATCATCTTGTCCTCTTTAACTACCCTTGTCAAGTTTTCTGAGTTTCAGGTACTGCTATGACTCACAGCAGCCCTCTAGGGAACAAAAAATTCTATGTTGGGAATGTCTACATAAGGGAGAAAGGGAACATGACTACATAAATATTGTACATTGTAAGTGTAAGAGTTGAATTTTATTTTATTTTTTATTTTTTAAAAGATTTTATTTATTTATTTATTTATTTATTTATTTATTTATTTATTTGAGAGAGAGCAAGAGAGCACAAGCAGGGAGAGTGGCAGAGGGAGGAGAAACAGGCTCCCCGCTGAGCAGGGAGCCCAATGTGATGCGGACTCGATCCCAGGGCCCTGGCCTCATGACCTGCGCCAAAGGCAGATGCTTAACCAACTGAGCCACCCAGGTGCCCCAAGAGTTGAATTTTAGATATATATACAATTGTCCTATTTCTATTGAGGCGATAGCATGGATGCTTAGGATTCAAATATCAAACTGAAATTCACTATATTTTTCTCAGTTGCATTAAGTAGGAAAAGTTGTGCTACGTGCTTGTTTCATTGATTGGGACCCTTGAGTAAATGTTATTTTTGTGATGTTGCTAAAAGGAAAAAATTGTAATTGGTCATTTCAGCAAGAAGATTCTTGAAATATTTCTAGAATTGTTTTATCCAGCCTAGGTTCAACCCTAGTCAGGTTAATATAAGGTCTTCAAGTAATATGCCTATATTTAACCCTTAATTATATTAATATCTCTTAATGTAGGGCTGAATAAATTTTGTTCAATGACAACTTTACAAAAAGTATAGCATAACTTACCTGAGAATTATAGTTCCAAAAATTCCAACCATGTTAACAATAACCATGTTAGTTACAAAATTAGAAATAAGAAAAAAAGTGACTTCTATAGCAAAGAAAATAAAAATAGAGTGCACAAGAAACAAGTATGCGCATTTAATATGTGTGATTATACTACTCTCTAGTTTAAAGCTTCAGTGTCTTTCCAAAGCCCTTAAAAATCCATCTCCTCTGGCCCTCCCTGACCGGGCTTCTGCTTTGCTCTCTGACTCATCTCATGCCACCTCTCACACCTCATTCACTATACACCAGTCACATTGACGTTCTTTCTGCTTCTTAAATGTGCCAAGCCCAGGACCTACTTTCTGTTCCTGGCTTTTCTTCCTAGATCTTTGCATAGCCGACTCCCTCTTACCATTCAGGAATCAGTCCACATGTCGCATCCCCAGAGAAGCCTATTTTGATCACCTCTGCTAAATAATAGTCCCTCCACATCACCCAATCATCACTCTCAATCAGATTACCCTGTTTTAATTTTCTTTATGGTATTGTTGCTATCTAAAATGATCTTTTAAAGTATCGATTACTTATTGTATAAGTTCCTTATTAATGGGAACCTCTTCTGTCTTGTTGACTGCTAACTCCCCTTACACACAGTAGATATTCAAATATTCCTTGAATGAATGAATTTTCTAGATACATGAATGAACTTATAGGAAACACTTTAGTTTCTGTTGAGGTCAAATGAATAAGGTATTCAAATCTGCCTGTAAAGAAAGTCTTTTAAACAACAGAAAATTACCTCCCCATAAATCCCTAGGAAAAGTGTGAGGTCACTGAAAATAACCTTGGAGAAAAGGCAGTGTTGTTTGTGTTTCCTGTTCCTTTCTGAGTCAAGACTTCATAAAATGAAACTTTTTTATTTAAAGTGCTATAAATTTTCTAAATACTTGAAATATCCATAATCAAATATAAGAACATAGAAATTGTTTCAAAGAGAAATATGCAGAAGACTTACTTGTGGATTCTTTCTTCATCTCAAGGGTGAAATTGCCTTAGAATGAAGTTCTTTCAATAGTAATTTATACCCCTTGGATAAGGTCTAACATGGCATTTTAATTTCAGAATATATTTTACGACACCCTGCCCAGCTGTTCAAATCCAGCCATTATTACTTCTTCCAAATACCATGGTTCCCAGAATTTATGTTCTCAATAAATGATTTCAAGGTAAGTCAAATACGGTGATGGATGTTAACTAGATTTATTGTGGTGATCATTTTACAATGTATACAAATATTGTATTATTATGTTGTATACCTGAAACTAATGTTATATGTCAATTATACCCCAAGAATAAAATTGAAAAACTGGAGCCCAAGAAGATGACAAAATTAGGAAGTTAAAAATAAAAGATAGGGGCACCTGGGTGGCTCAGTTGTTAAGCGTCTGCCTTTGGCTCGGGTCATGATCCCAGGGTCCTGGGATAGAACCCTGCATCGGGCTCCCTGCTCAGCGGGAAGCCTGCTTCTCCCTCTCCCATTCCCCCTGCTTGTGTTCCCTCTCTTGCTGTGTCTCTCTCTATCAAATAAATAAAATCTTAAAAAAAAAATAAAAGACAGATGCACTAAAAAAAAGGAGGAAAGAAAGAAAGAAAATAAAAAAAAGAACTGGTCCTGCTTATGTTATCTGATTTGTCTAAAATAATCATTTATTGATTATTGTGATATGATGCCCACTGCTAGGCATTTCCTCCTATGTAGGAAAAAAAAGGTTAAATCAAGCAAATAATGTATTAATGAAAAACATTAAAGTGCATCCTTCAGAAAGAAAAATAGGCAAATGCTAAAATTTAATAATTTCTAAGACCTCATCTATAGGCTAACTTATTTTTACAGTCTCTGTATATTTGAGTACCTGGTTATTGTTCAGTTTTTTTGTGAGAGCCTGTGCCCCTATAGGCGTACCTCTTTTCAGAGAACATTCCATGGGGAGACAAGGCAATATGAATGCCAGGTGAGAGAGTTTGACATAACAGAAGTGGAGGCCTTTGGGTGTAAACAAAACCCTGAAACAAAGTAAGTGTGTGGGAATTGATGTACCATATACACGGACAACCAGGAGTCATGTGTTGTATCTATTTCTTGAAAGTTTATCGAATGCTTCTTGTATATCTGGTGTGGTGTTAGATATTTAGGGAGGCTTTAAAAAAGACAATATTATTTTACTTGGAAATACTTCTGTATATATCTCTGACAGATAAGGACATTTTTTTTTAACAAATAACTCCAGTACCATTATCAAACCTAACAAAATGAATACTTACTCCATACTATCATTTAATATTCAAATTTCCGTTCCATTGAATTTCCATTCAAATTTCCTTAACACTTTATTTGTTTGAATCAGGAACCAAACAAGGTCCATACATTGTATTTGATTGTTATGGTTTTTTCAGGCTATAACAGTTCCTTCTTTTTTTTTTAACACCATTTTTTTATTGAAGAAATTTCATATTTGTTCATTTGTTCTGAGGAATGATCCACATTTTGGATTTGGCTAACTACTTCATCATGGTGTTATTTAACTTGTTCTGCTAACCCTTGTTTCTCCTACTTCATGGTTGCTACTAATCTAGAGGCTTGGTTAGGTTGATTTTTAATTTGACAAGAATACTGGCAGGTGGTGCTGTGTATTTCCTAATGCATCACATCAGGGAAGCACCTAGGGTCTAGTTCTCGCAGTTTTACTAACACTAACACTGACCAGTGGGCTCACTTAAATTTAGATAGTCAGCCTATCTAAATTTCCTAACAACCTTTCACCAGATAATTTTAGCATACCTTGATCATCACTGCATAGGTCCATTATTTCATTAGGATTCGCAAAATGGTGATTTCCTAATTCTATCATTTTTTTCTGCTTTTATTAACTGGAATTCTTCCTTTTATTAACTAGAATTGTCCATTTCTACTGTTTGGTTATTCTGAAATACAGTTCACTCAAGAATGGAAGGATAAATGCTTCATTCTTTACCTTTATAAACAACTTCTAAAGTAATGACTTGGTGCCCTAGAAATCTCCAATGACAACCAATGAAGTTTTCTTTTTTTCCATATTATTATGAGCTCATGAGTTTTAAAAATATATTTGACATGATTCAATCAATTACAGTCGTTCTTTTTTATGCTCAGATTGTCTCATATTAGGCAAGTGGAAACTCCTTCAGGTTGGCTCCTGTGTCCTTTTGACATAAATCTTCAGTCAGTAATAGCTTGCTTCCTTAATGTCCTAGGTTCATTTTTTATTTCCTGCTGCAGATCTGGAATCAGTCATTTATTGAAGGAACTCGGGCTCCTATTAGTAGGAAACTGTACTTAGAAACCACAGTCTGGGTGTCAAGGTGATCATTGTTACTGGGTTTTTATTGCTTCTAGACCTTTCCATTGGATAGATATTATACTTACATATTTTTAGAGTGAAAAAAAATCATGTGTTCTTATTCATATTTCCAAAGCAAAATTAAGACTACAAAGTTTTGTTTAACTTTTATATTTTATAAAAAACATTTATGTGGTTCTAGTCAAAATGCTAATACAAGGTACAGAGAGGTCTCACTTAGGTCTCTGTTTCCTGTTTCTCTGTCTCCTATTTCCTCCCTCTCCATAGGGAAACCATTTTGGTTAGTTTTTGTTTCATTTTTTTGTTTCTTTTTTAAAAATATAAGGATATGTGAATGTATTTGTCTACTCCTCCTTACACAAAAGATAACATACTATAAACACTATTTTCCACCCTTTCTTTTTTTCCCCCACTTAAAAATATGTCCTGGGGATCAGCTACTCCATAGCATGTAATCATCTCCATCTTCTTTTTTTTTTTTTTAAAGATTTTATTTATTTATCTGACAGAGAGAGACACAGTGAGAGAGGGAACACAAGCAGGGGGAGTGGGAGAGGGAGAAGCAGGCTTCCCACGGAGCAGGGAGCCCAGATGCTGGGCTTGATCCCAGGACCCTGGGATCATGCCCTGAGCCAAAGGCAGATGCTTAATGACTGAGCCACCCAGGCGTCCCTCATTTCCATCTTCTCCTGGAGTATTCAGAACACATAATACACCATCATGTGGCTATACCATAGTTTATTCAACCAACCCCCAACTGATGGACATTTTTTGTTTCCAGTCTTTTGCTATTACAAATAATGTTTCAATTAATCACCTCCTGTATAAATCATTTCATAGTTTTGCAGGTGTGTTTTGGGGTTGAGGGATCTGCATTTTATTTCATTTTTTAAAGATCGATTTATTTATTTTGGAGAGAGAGAGAGAGAGGGTGAGCAGGGGGAGGAGCAGAGGGAGAGGGAGAAAAATCCTTAAGCAGACTCCCCACTGAGCATGGAGCCAGACATGGGGCTCATCCCAGGACCCTGAGATCATGACCTGAGCTGAAATCAAGAGACTGACACTTTACCAACTGAACCACCCAGGTGCCCCGAGGGATTTGCCTTTTAAACAAGAATCCCAATCATTCTAATGCAGGTGATTTAGATCTACACTTTGAGAAATGCTGGTATAGAGCAGTGTTTTTCAGATTGTGGGAGGGGGCCCATTAGTGAGTCAGGAGATCAGTTTCCTGGCTTGCAATTTGAATTTTTAAAAATAAAGTAGAACAGGGCGCCTGGGTGGCTCAGTTGGTTAAGCGACTGCCTTCGGCTCAGGTCGTGATCCTGGAGTCCTGGGATCGAGTCCCACATCGGGCTCCCTGCTTGGCAGGGAGTCTGCTTCTCCCTCTGACCCTCTTCCCTCTCGTGCTCTCTATCTCTCATTCTCTCTCTCTCAAATAAATAAATAAATAAAATCTTTAAAAAAAAAATAAAGTAGAACAGAAGTGAATTGAAAATATCACTACATACTATAATAAGAGTAAGGGATATTTCTTTAAACATTTGTTTCAGAAACGTATGTGTAGGAGTATGAACTGGATCATGCTAAAAAATGTGTTTGTTACTCTGGATTGTGGTCAAAAAAAGTTCAAACAATTGTGGGGGGAGGAGAGTAGTTTGGTTGTTAGTAAACAGATCAACTACTGTTAGTTAGAATATGAGGGAAGACTTTAGGGTGGTGATAGTATCTGAGCTTAGGCTTGTAGAATGTGAATAGGCACCAAGAAAGACAGGTGGCTTTTCCTAAGGGTGAAGTGTACAATGGGGGATTTGAAGGGAAGAATATCAAACATCAATCCAGGAAAGCAAAAATGTGTCTAATGTGTTTGTAAACAATGAGGTCTTCTACCTGGCTAGAGCAGAAAGGGGGAGTTGTTACTGACACTGACCATTATTCCCCTTCAAAAGCCAAAGGTTTAGTTTATGGTTAGGTAACTAAAAAGTTTTAATTATTTTCTTTTCATTTAAATTAGGCTTTGAAACATCTGTTTACCAGTCACAGCACTGGCATTGGAAGAAAAGGATGTCGATTAACAACAGAAGATCTTGAAGCTTATATTTATGTCTTCTCCCAGCCTGGAGCATTAAGTGGCCCAATTAACCATTACCGAAATATTTTCAGGTCAGTATAATTTCTTTTTAGTTAAATAAAATATTCATTCCCTGAAGAGCCAATATTTTATTTTTTTCCAAGTTTTATTTAAATTCCAGCTAATTAACATACAGTGCAATATTAGTTTCAGGTGTAGAATTTAGTGATTCATCACTTACATGCAACGCCCGGTGCTCATCACAAGTGCCCTCCTTAATACCCATCACCTGTTTAACCCATTCCCCCACCACTTCCCCTCCAGTAATCCTCAGTTTGTTCTCTATACTTAAGAGTCTGTTTCTTGGTTTACCTTTCTTTCCACCCCGCCAACATTCGTTTTGTTTCTTAAATTCCACATATGAGTGAAATCATATGGTTTTTGTCTTTCTCTGACTTATTTCACTTAGCATAATACTCTCTAGCTCCATCCATGTAATTGCAAATGGAAAGATTTCGTTATTTTTTATGGCTGAGTAATATTCCAGTGTGTGTGTGTGTGAGTGTGTGTGTACACATATATGTATATGTATACTATATATTCTTTATCCATTCATGAGCCAATGGACATTTGGGCTCTTCCCATAATTTGGAAATTGACAACAGGAAACAACAGGTGTTGGTAAGGATGCAGAGAAAGGGGAACCCTCTTATACTGTTGGTAGGAATGCAAACTGGTGCAGCCACTTTGGAAAACAGTATGGAGATTCCTCAGAAAGCTAAAAATAGAACTACCCTATGATCCAGCAATTACACCAATAGGTATTTACTCCAAAGGATACAAAAGTACAAATTCAAAGATATACATGCACCCTAATGTTCATAGCAGCATTCTCAACATTAGCCAATATTTTATTTTTAAGATTATGTTCACTGTTTATCCAAAGACTATTTCAAATAAAGTGTCCCGATTTTGTAAGTTGCCTAATCTTTTCTTAAGGAAACTTTAAACATGGAAGAGTAGAGAGAATAGTATAATGGATCCCCCATGTAGTTTCACTTACTTTATCCACAACTTTATGCACTTCTTCTTTACCTTTGTGTTATAGTGAATAGATGTATATTTGTAATCATATTTTTAATGATAATTATTCACTCAAGAAATATTAAGCACTTTCTATGTTCTCGTCTATGCCAGCACTCAAGATATAGTAATAAGCAAAACTAGACAAAGGTCCCTGATCTCACTAGCCAAGTGGGGAAAATAGACATCAAGCATATAACCACAGCAATGAATATATGGTTATAAATAAAGACATTGAGAGAAAGGGATGAGAACTGAACAAATAATGTTTGAACAGAGAAATGAAGAATGAGTTACATATTGACTAGGTAAAGTTGGGGATAGAGGGATTGGCATTCCAGAAAAAGGAAATAGCATGTACCAAAGCTGTGTGGGAAGATAGAGAATTGTGGTTTTAAGTAACACAGTGAAGGCTAATATGGCTGACACACAGAAGAAGACAATGAAATGAGAACGGGTCCGAGAGTAAGCAGTGGCTGGCCACGCAGAGCCACGGAGACCATATTAAGTACTTAAGAGCTATGAATGTGAAGCTAGTAAATGAGTGTTTCAAACAGAAAAGAGAAAAAATCTGTATTTGGATAAATTCATTTAATGTAAGGAAATTACAGTGGTCCAAGCTAAAGATCATGGTAGCCTGAAATAGTCTGAAGGCAGTGGAAATGGGGAGAATGGGTAGATTTAAGAGATATTTAAGAGGAAAAGTGACAGGGGTTGGTGATGTGTTGGGGGGGATGAGAAAAAGAGGGATGTCAAGGTTGGCTCCTGAATTCCTGGCTTGAACAGCTATCTGGATAGTCATGCCATTCACTGAGATAGAAAACACTAGAAGAGAACTGGTTCTGAGGGGAAAGTCATAAACTTTATTGATCTTAAACTAGTTGAGTTTGAGGTGGTACCTTAAATATTCAAATAGGTAGATAGATACAAGGGTTTGGAATTCAAAGGAGAGAATCTGTGATGAAGATATATAAAGTCTTGGTGTCACTGACAGAGACAAATGAGGCTTTTGTTCAGAAGATATTGTCTAGGGAGAAAGTATAGAATGAAAGACAAGATATGGAGATTTGTCTGTTTAGGTTTGGACTCTAGATAGGAGAAAAAGATTTCTCTTAATAATTAGCAACCCACAGCCTGCCTTGAAAAGGGTTAGAGACTTGAATTTATGCTACCTCCATAGCACTAGAATTATCAGCAAAAACATTATATTTCAATATCATCCTAGGCTGGTACACTTTCCTGGCAGAAACAAAGACAGAATTTTTCTGGAGGATACATTTCAACTCAGACTTACAATATGCCCACAGATAAAGTCCTCTGAAGATGAGTTCATAATTCAAATTATGAAAAACATGAAGCTACCATTAATAAGTGAGAAAACAACTGCAGAACTCTTAACACAGTTCAAATACTAGAACTAACAGATTATAAAGTATGTTTAAATCATTAAATATATGAAAGAAAAAATATGAAAAAGAATAGGAAAATATCAAGACAGCCTGGAAAGAGCTGAAAAAGAACAAAAGAACTTCTCGAAAAGAAAAATATTGTTATTAAAATCTAAAATTCCATAAATGAGTTAAATAACAGATCAGACAAGCTAAAGAGAATTATGAATTGGAAGACAGCTCTGAAAAAATTACCTAGAATCTAGCTTAAAGAATTGAAAATATAAAAGACAGGTTATATTTGATTTAGAGGATGAAAGTAGAAATTATATAGATAGATGATAGATACACACACACACACACACACATATATACATGCCAATAATTTTTTTCTAGTAAAATAAATTAGAAATAGAATGTATTATTTTCAAACCAGTAGAGCGTGACAAGAAAGCTATCAATGCAAAAGAAGGCAGGAAAGGAGAAAAAGGAAGCAAAGTAAATAGAATGCGCAAAATAAGATGTCAAAAACAATTTAAATATGTCAGTAAGCACAATAAATATGAATGTATTATACTTGCCTGTTAAAAAACTAAATATCAGATTGGATTAAGTCACAATTAAAGCATAAGGACACAAAAGGGTTGAAAGTAGGAGGATGGAAAAAAGTTATAGTGGGTGTATTTTATTTTATTTAAAGATTTTATTTTTAGGTAATCTCTACACCCAACAAGGGGCTTGAACTTACAACCCTGAGATCAAGAGTTGCATGGTCCACCAACTGAGCTAGCCAGGCGCCCCTATAGTGGGTGTTATTTTAAATAAAATAAAATCTCTCAAACTCTTTGAATAGGGAATCCACGGGGAGTTAAGAGATTATATGAATTGAGGGGAGAAGAGGTAAACCCAAACCTTCTTTTTTGACTAACAACAACAAAATTTACAAAGATAAATGTAAAAATTTTTGGCAAAACAGAGATGTTGATTTAAAAAGTATTTGTAGGTACCCATTTATTAAGCAAGGCAATGATTAGAAAGGCAGACTGACATTGCAGAGGCTACAGGTTTATCTCATAGGATATAGCAGCAACATTGTCTCAAGTCCATGTTTTGTCATTTGTTTTTACAAATAATATTTGTAAAGAGAGTTCTAAGAGAAAATAGAATGACATTTTCATACAAGTCTAAATTTTTAACAAGAGATAAAAAATAATAGTTTTTAAATGTTCTTATTTATCCCTTTATCAAAGTTAGCTTTGTGATACAAAGCAAGTAGCTATAAGGAAAGAGGGAAAATATTCTGATCTTTCTGAGGTTCTTTTACGAACAATGGTTCATTAGGAGGACCTGCATTCCCAAGAGTAAGCTCTAGAATCCTATTAACTGGCATGGAGAGAGAAAGAGTGAAAAAAAGCAGGCCTGTGAAGGTCAAAACTTACAATTTTATATAAAGGTGAAAGACAGTTTTAAATTAGATTGCTATCGGTTAAATCTGGCTGGGTCAAGGCCACGTCAAACCTTCTGGAAGCTCAACTGACCTCTTCTGATGCTTCTTTACATTGGGGTAATTAAGCCCAAGTACATAATTAAAAATGGTTATGCAATATAAAATGACTACAAATAAAGTATGGTACATTATACTTAGGTAGGGAAATCACTCTCATTTATCACCCTAGGATTCCTCAGGACCATAGCCTCATTCAAGGACTCTCAAAAATTTGGAGCCAAGGAACTAGAAGGAGCTAGGAATTGGATTAACTATAGGATCTAACCTGCAAAAAAGATAAACAAGTCTAAACCTATAACAAAGCACCAAATAATAAAGCAAAAGCTGATACTTACAAGGAAAAATGACAAATTCACAATTACTACTGGAGATTTTAACTCATCTCTCTCAAAAGTTGATCAAGCAGGAAAAAAATTAATAAAGATATGGAAGATTTGAACAACCCAATTAACATCTTTGATCTGATGAACAATTCTAGAATCCTGCATCCAATAATTAGAAAATACACAATATTTTTAAGTACATAGAAATGTTTACAAAGATTACATACAGGACTACAGAGCAAATCCTAACCAATACCAAAGGATCAATATCACATAGATTGTGTTCTCTGAACACAATGCAGTTAGAAATTAACAATAATGACAAAGTTTTAGAAAACTCCATATATTCAGAAATTTAAAAGCTTTTAAATTGCTCATGGCTATGATCCAGTAATTGCACTACTAGGTATTTACCCAAAGAAATAAAAAATACTGATTCAAAGGGATACATGCATTTTTATAGTAGCAATATCAACAATAGCCAAATTATGGAAACGGCCCTGGTGTCCTTCGACTAATGAATGGATAAAGAAGATATGGTATACATATACCATGGAATATTACTCAGCCATAAAAAAGAGTGAAATCTTGCCATTTGCAGCAATGTGGATGGAACTAGAGAGTATTATGCTAAGTAAGTGAAATAAATCAGTCAGAGAAAGACAAATACCATATGATTTCACTCATGTAGAATTTAAGAAACAAAACAAATGAGCAAGGGGGAAAAAAGAGAGGGAGAGACAAACCAAGAAACAGACTCTTAACTATAGAGAACAAATTGATGGTTACCA